TATGATCACCACATTGACAGATGGAACTCATGATGGAGAGTAATGAAAAGACAGCAGATCTAAGAAGGTTATGAATATACTAAAAACAAAACAAAACAAAAATTAGAAGGCCCATCATGTCAAAAAGAAACCAGATAAATCTCCTTCTGATTAGTTCTTCATTAAAATGATAGCCTAAGCAAATAGGCATGTAGTATAGATATTCTGTTATGGCAGCTAACCCAAGTGGAATTATACTGACTCTTTGGACTTGCTAGAGGTTCTGTCATGTGTTTGGAAAAGAGAGTAAAGCCTGGAATTTGAGCCCCACTAGTCATTAAACATTTGGTGACACTTTTTTGTTTCAATCAAACAAGGTGAAAGTTGTTCATTTCAGTGCTGCCAAATTCCAACTCCAGTAATTACAAGTCACATTTATGTACTCTGTGGGAACAGGTGGAAATTAAAATTGCTTTGGATTTTAGAATTATCACCTTCAGTGATGGAGTATATTAATGGGTCCATCCTCTCAAAATCATCATATATTTCAGTTAGATTCAGCACTTTTCCCTTGTTATAGTCCTAAAGTGAGATACCATGGGACTCTTTAACAGTTACTATGCTCCTGACCAAGAGACTGGGCTTCATTTCAGCAAAGAGTGAAGTAATCTCACTGTGCCACTTACTTCTCTTGGCATGCTTGTGACGTTTAATTAGCTAATGTACTAGAAGGTGCATTGTGGTCCTCAGGTGAAAAGCAATTTTTTTTCCAAATTACAAATTGTGCCTAATTGCAAAAATTTTAAAGTACATTTGACAAAATGAAACTTAGGAAAACACACTTTCTAGCTTTTCTTAACGTTTTAATCTTCATCTTAAAAATATAATCTCAAATATCTATAAATTTCACATTAATAACAGTCAAAAATCCTTACAAAGATAATGAATTAAAAGGTCTGTTACTAATTACTGCAGTCCAATTTCCTTAAATCTTTCATAAAACTGCCTAATAGCTAAAATAAACAAGTGAACGCTATTTACAATTCCCATCTACTTTTAGTCATTACCAATTGCCGTAGGCTTATTCTTAAACCAACACAGTACATGATTACATAATTACCTTTAATCAGTACTGTTGCTAATAACTGCACCTTGTACATTCTGGGTACTCATATCCAACTTTATTTCATTAGGATAATCTCAACATCAGAATGGCCAGCTGTCTTTTACTGAACACAAGGTATGTTTCTATTTTAAAGATGGAGGAAGTTAGTAGTATTTTTTTTTAAACAAATGAAGATGTAGTTCCTTCTTTTCATCTCTTACTGTAATATATACACTTGTATTAAAGGGGAAGCATTTTGTTTCCCTTAACTCTATACACCAAATTCCAATTTAAGTCAAAGGAAAAAAAATTCATGGTGCAACATTTGTTTAATTTTTTGAGATAGCATTATGATTAGGTAAAATCAAACTTAATGTACCTTTAGGTACACAAAGTCACAGTTTCTCAAAGAAAAGAGATTTTTTTTAGTGATTGCTAGTGGGATAAGAAATTATTTATAAATAGTTTAACTGCATTTTAATATCAAAACAGGCAATAATGAGACTTTAAATTTCAAAATCATATTAACCATGCTACTGAGCATCAGTAAACAATAATAATTCAAAGAGATTATCTTTTAAATTTCCAAGTAAATAAATTCCTTATCAAAATTCTCATGAAAGACAATTCTATAGCACTGAACTAAGGAACAGCTTGCCTCTGCATTTATATATATATATATATATATATATATATATATACATATATATATATATAAATATTTATTCTCATATATTTATATATATATATAAATACGTATATTTTCTGAATATATATATGTATGTGTATAAATTTATTACATATTATATATACATAAATATGTATTCAAAACACTGGACTGCTTGCTCTGTTGATTAATATAAGCCAAATGTTCAATCTAAAAATCAATCATTCTTTCCTTACTAGAAGCTTAGCTTTTAAATATATCAGGACAAGTTTTTTGCAATTATGCTATAATTTAAGAGGAAAAAACAACTTATTTTCCCTAATCAGGTCCCACCAGTAGTAGTAATAATAATAATGATCATAATGATTACAACAATACCTAAAATTTTAATATTACTTTAAGTTTTACAAAGCACTTTACATATATTAGGTCAGTAAACAAACTGTGTGTGTGTGTGTGTGTGTATGTGTGTGTGTGTGTGTTCAATTAACAGCAGAAAGAGTTCTCTTAAACACATGCTTGTCTTTAATTCTGATCTGTCAACTACTACTGACAGGATCTATGTTTTGTCCTCCTATTGGCATGCTGTGTTTCTTGGGTCACTAAGAGTAGGACACAACTGAACAATGGTTACAAAGATTTTCTTAACACTGAACTGGAATCTTCTACCTATTGCTCTCCCATCCATTACTAAGAAATACACGTTATCCCTCTGAAGTTAAACAAAACAAGTATAATATAATTCTTACATAGCATGGCACCCTATCTTCTTACCAACTTGGCCACTCTTTTTTGGACATTCTCCAGCTTATCTATGTTCTTACTGTGTACTGACCAGAAGTCGACACTATATTCCAAATCTGGTCTGACTAGGGCAGAGTACCAGGAAACTATCATTTTCTCTCTTCTAGACAAAATACCTCTCCTAATGCAGCTTAAAACAGCATTAGCATTTTTGGCCACCATGTCACATTATTAAGTCACGTTGAGGTTGTTTCTTCAGAAACTGTTGTCTAGTCATCATGCCTTCCCCCATCCTGTGCTTGTGAAACTGATTTTTTGAACCCAGGAGTGGCACTTTGCATTTATCTCTATTTCCTTCTTTCCACTCAACTATTCATGTTTCAATGCAGGTTCTGAACATGACAATTAAGAAAACATTTATTTTTTTTTTACCTACAAAGTAGGTGAGTAGAAAAATACTATTGGACAGTATTGCTTAGTTAGAAGGCAATTCCAATAATATGTATGGCAGAGGGGAAAGGATAATTGCTTATATTCATATATATTGGTTACTCCACTTTCCCAACCAGGAATGTAATGGTGCCATATCTGTACTGACTCAGAAGAGCCAGTAATTAAACTTTTAGTGGGAGCATTCACACCTTGGAAATCAAAAATATACAAATTAGGGCTTGATTTATTGTTTGGTTGGTTGCTAGGTTTAAGAAAGTGATGCAAGAAATGTTAGTGCAGATTAAACTTAACAAGTGTACCACAGATTTCATATATATGTATATATACATATACACACATATAGATACATATATACACATATATGTGTGTGTGTATGTGTGAATACGTATAATCAGAGAGCTGGTCTTTAAAAATATACTAAAACATCCATATCTCCCTTTCTCAATTATTTATATGCAATGATATAGGTAGGGCTTTATTACTATGAGTATATTTAAACTATATAATACCTGAAGCATGTGAAGATTTTAGAAAACACTATGAACATTTGAATATCATTCCACAGTTGCCAGACACATAGGACTAAGCTAGCCCCACTGAATTCCTAATTTTTTTTTTAGAATTTTACTTGCTTAATTAGCTAATTCCCATGATTTGCTCCTTTCTTTATGCTTTTAATCTCTATTCCTCTCCTGAACTTTTACAAACAGATCTCCCTCTGAAGACTATGGCTTGGATTTCATAAGCATTCCTGCTCTGCTCCTTCCTGGGTAATTTTCACCCTGGTTCTCCTTCCATGAGATCATGCAGTGGTTCCCAGGGTAAGTTTTATACCCTTTTCCTACTCTGGCAGAAGACAAGAAATTGATATAATAGGCATTGTCAACAAGGTGTTTTTAGCCTATTAGTAGAATATAAAGTGGGCTAATCTATGAAAAAGCTGATATGGAGAGGAAACATATAATTTAGATCCTTCTTAAACACATAGAAAATGTTTAATAAAACCCTTTCCACATTTTGTTTATTTGTACATACTATTTCAAATATGTATGTATCAACAAATAATGTTTCATTAAAATACTATAGGAAAAAGTATAGAGGTATAGTAGTATTCACGTGATATTGTTTTTTTTCACTGGTATCAAAGACATATGCAGTGATCAAACATAGATATGCAATTATTCTCCACTAGCAATACAAAGTTCTGGGAATACAGGAAATAGCTAATAGCTAGAATAATGAATGCCCCAAGCATATGCTTGAAATATACAACCCCATAAGCATGAAGTCATTTTTAGTTACATTCTCTGAAAATAACATTTTATGCTAGGTCATCAAAGTTGTTTACATGATAAACTGTACTACTAATCTCAGAGTCGTAATCAGGGCAAGGCAACCAGTATTCCTCTATGGGCCAACTTTATTTATTTCTGGTGAGGCAATCAGGGTTAAGTGATTTGCCCAAGGTCACACAGCTAGTAAGTGTCAAGTGCCTGAGGCCAGATTTGAACTCAGGTCCTCTTGGCTCCAAGGCTGAAGCTTTATCCACTGTGACACATAGCTCCCCTCACGTGTCAAATTTAAAAGGTAAAAACACCTACATTTTTCCATAGCATAAAAGTAACAAAGCTTGTACCAAGTTAATAAGAATAATTTGCTAAAATATTAAGATATAAGATGATGGCCTAGAGTAGGCTTTTTCCTAGATTCTGTCTTGCTTCTCCCAGTTGGAAAGTATCCCAGCCTTTCCTCAGTTGAAGGTATGCACTCAGCCACTTGCTGTAGACAAAACGTCTCTAGTTATGACTCCATTCCATTTTGAAAATTTACACTCGTATTTATACTGTCACTTCTATAGTTACAATCTCTTTTAATTGTTGCTTAACAAAATGAAAAAAATCTCTTAAAATGTCAAAAGAAGTGTGACATCTGACCTTATATACTGTCAAGGTAATTGTCTGAATGATCTCATTCACCATTTTGAAATATTTCCCACACTGTAGCATATACAACAAAAATATGAAAGTATTTCACCTGAATGGAGATCTGTACCTGGTTGACTAGTCAGTCCAGGGAGAGATTCCTGCAACTGATAGGTTGATGAGGATGAAGATGTGCCATCAGTTGTGTTATTTGAAGTCATGTATGCTCCATATGTTGATGCTGAATAATACTGTGCATATTGGTTTTGGCCAAAGGCTGTATAGGATGGATAATCCTGAAACAATAATTGAAATGCATTAATCGAAGATACTCCTCTGATCAGGGTTCAGACTTCTATATGTGCCACGAAGGAGTACAGGAGAGAGAACTACACTAATGAAGTTAGCTACGCTGCCGTACTTCAATGAATCTGCAGTCTTATGCATGTGGGTTTTCCCTGTACTGGTGCAAATGATAACCTATTCAATAACTTCTCAGTCAGGGCAATGCCTGTTCATGCCCTTCCATAAATCTTCCATAGATGATCCTTATGTTGAAGGATTTCCTCTCTTTTCTATTTCATGGATCCCTCTACAGTATCTGAGATATCCTAAGCAGTCAAACCAACAATTTTTTTTTGGTTCCACTTACTTCAGAGGAGCAGGGGGATAGAAGAGAAAGAACATTGGATATCTAGCAAAGAGACCTAAGTTTCAGTGCCAGTTCTACAACTAATTACCTGAGTGACCACGGCAAGTTATTTAATCTTTCTGGGACTCAGTTTGCTCATGTGAAAGATGGGAATAATAGTATTTACAGTACCTACCTAATGGTTATGATGGAGAAAAGTGCTTTGCAAGTTATAAAGTGCTACACAAATGTATTCTATCACTCCACATCATTATATTTCAAATGAAGCCTGTTTGAGTAAAAATATTTTTGGTAGGCATCTTCCATATTCAAAGGTGCTTAACTATCCTGGGCAGCAGTTGTAATAGACCCGGGGGAGAGAGTGAAGAAGAGAGGAGCTTAAAAAGCCCTGAAGGTCTGCATAATCCATCCACAAATACGAGAGATCCTTATCTATACAAAGGAATGAGACTTCCTTTCTCACTTTCCACCTAGACTCTTTAGGCATCTCCTGGTAATTTTTTTTTGATGGTGAAAGAAAGAGAAAAAAAAAAGAAAAAGAAAGGGTGGGAGATGAAGGAGAGGACCAAATTTGAAGACTCCCTCACGTCAAAACTCTCACAATTAGAGTACTTAGTGAGATCTTTGTTTCATTTTAAAAAAACCATGTACGTTCAAATGTTTCTCTTTCTGAGACTGCTTTTGCAATGATTTTAACTTTTGGATATAGATTTAAAGCAGATGGAATGATTTTTGATCATCTCCTTTCCTATTGGAAAATGTATCTATAAAATAAAAACTGGGCATTATTGCAAGTTTCTCTAATCAACTCTTTTATTACAATTATTTTTAGAATGTCCTTTTGCATTTGGATTCAAAGTTTTATTTTGAATATATTACATTCCCCAAAATATAGGGAAAAACAATTAAATACCATTTTCATGCATTTCTAATTAATCTAATTATCTCTTTATACTTTTGTAATTTGATTTTTTTTTCATTTTATATCATTATCTCTTCCAATGAGTGCCTCTCCCTCTCCACTATCACCCCTCCCACCGAAAAAACAAACAAACCAGTAACAAGAACAACCACCACCACAGAATATATACCTCTCTTTTAACAAGTAAGTACAGTTAAGTAGAACAGTTCATTGGCCATGTCCTAAATACATATGCTCACTAATTTTTTTATATCCATAATTTCTGTTATTGTAATCATCTTCACAATAAAAAAATAATTCCTTAGAAAACAACAAATATAATTATGCTAATAATAGGAAAGAGAAATACTTTGGAAGCATTTTAAACATATTAAGATGGCAATAATTACACAAAAATCCCATAAAGTATGAAGGCCAACTCCAACTTTTCACTTTAATATGGAGGCTACCCTGGGTTCTCTGGGTTCATACCAGCAAAGTACAAGCTCTAGCAATTTGTACTAAAATGGAAAAAGCAAAATAAAACAAAACAAAACAACAACAACAACAACAACAACAGTAACAAACTTTGAGTATTGGTCTGAGATGTCCATCATCTGAGTACTAGCCTAGCTAATTTGGAAAGACTCATCTTCAACATGACCATAGAGTGGTAAAATTTTAAGCTCCAATAACTCTAGAAAACCATTTACTGAGTAGAAGGTGACTTATAGTCTTAACTGAAATGCAATTAATACCAATGCAAATGAAATTATATATGTGTGTGTGTGTGTGTGTGTGTGTGTGTGTATATATATATATATATCTAGCATGTGGTAACATTATTTTTATTCAAAATCCAGTTTTCTGAAAGCTTCTATGACTGAAAACATATCTGGGAACAAGGAATCAAAGAAACAAACAAAAAAAATACCTTTACACAAACAAAATTGTTATCAATAATTCCCTACATTTACAAAGACCATTCCTCAGGTCCTCACAAAGAGGACTCTTTAGACTCTCATTTTGAGCCTGTCTACTCTTGATTTACCCAAATTATAAAAAAAAATATTTTTTTCTAAGTCCATGGCAGACACATAGCAACAAATTAGAATGAGTAGTGCTAAAAGCACACACTCACACTCTACTGAGAACTGAGAGTTAACAGCCTGCTAGTGTAAGAGGAGAACAATGGAAGAGAGTGCTGGTTTGAGAGCCAGAGGACCTTGGTCCAGGTCCTAACTTTTCCACTTCTTACTTGTATGGACTTAGTACTTAAACTCTCAGAATTCTATGTCCGTATTTATAAAATAAGGGGATTGACTAGAAGATGTTTAAGGTCCCTTGTAGACCTAAAATTATGGATAAAGGATGAAAATACTCTAATAAAAGAAGATAACAAGAATTTTTTAAAAAAAAACATAAAACTCTGGGGCTCTTTAATGTTGGGGCAAACTTGTCTTGCACATTAGGTTCTGAGGTATTACTATGTTATGGTCTAGCACAATTAATCATATTTATGGTGACCCTGGGATATCAAAAAAGCCTAGATTGTGATCAGTATTCAGTATTTATGATGTCAAGGAGCTATACAATGCATTTTGGAAAAAATTGAGTTAAAGGGAATAAAATAACAAAGTTTGGTGTCTTAATAGCAGAAACCCTTGGACACTGATGAAAAACTTTGTAACTGAGAACAAAATCATTCCTCAGGATTTCAAATAACAGAAATTTTATTGTACTGAAAACTCATTTGTAAGAAGGCACATCAAATACTAATATGCAATTATTTTGTAACCTGAAGAATTTTCATTAAACATGTAATAATGGTTAAGTTTTTTTAAAATTCATACCTGCTGTGAGCTACTGAAATTCGTTGAATTGGAAACAGAATTATTTGCATAAATAGTAGATGATGGTGCAAAACTAGAACCTAAGAATAAAGAATAGATTATGTTTTAAAATGATTACTTAGATTATACATTAAAATATTTCACTTAAAAAACTATACAAACTTTTGTTAAAAGTCAATGATTATTTATTATCTTCTATCAGATAATAAGAGGAAAAACACTCCCAACTTTGGTGTGTTATTTTCTACATGTAAATTTAAAGAAAATATTTTAAAATATGTTAGTGTGTATTCTGTACAGGTCTCATATTCATAAGCATGAGCATATGAGAATTCTACTGTGCTATCACCCAAAAAAGCCTCTAAGGCTTATAAGTTCATACTCTCTAAAACATTCTAAGCTCTGAGCTACTGACTCAAACTGAGATTGTTTATGACAAATTGTAAGAATTAAGTCACTATACAAAAATATATTTGTATGTCATTTCACTTTGACTACAAACATGAAACATGCCTGCTTTATTCAATTAGTTATTTCTGTGGTTCTTTTCTACCAGGAAGTATGGAAATAAAAATGGCAACACATTTAGAGTTGAGAAAGAGATAAAAAGAGAGAAAAAAAGAAAGGCAGAGAAAGAAAAAATGGAGGAGAGAGGAAGAGAGAGAAGAAGCAGAATGTTAAAATTCATTTTAGTAAATCAATCTAACTTTTTATAGCTTTATTAACTAATTTGTTGAATTGAGTATTGAATACAGAAATCATTCAAAACATTAGTAGCTCTATTTTCATGATTCAAAATTCAAAGCTAATATTGAAGAAAATAAAAATAAGTCCCTTTGTAACAATATTTCCATTCTACCACCAGTTTTTTTTTTACACAAGTACCATATAATAATCAGAATTACCCTTCCTTAAAACAAGAAAAAAAACCCCTCAGATTATGGACACCAAAATAAAAGTCAAATGATGTTTATAAAACAAGACAGAGTTGAATATTTGTGAAAAGAAAAAAATGGCAAATTCTACTTATCAGATATTAGATTATGGATAAAGTTATTTTACCAAGGAAAAATCACACACATACATCAATATTCACTGATTATTGTAAAAATTTGCTCAAAGTTGCTAATTCACTTTTAAAGCTAACAAAAGAGCATTTGGGACTTCCTAAATAATAAAAACATATTTCTGTTATGAATATTTTAGAGAGCCCCAAAGGAAACTCAAAGTATTAATTGAATGGATAATTTTGTCATCACTGGTTTGGAGAACATTTTGTCCGGACTTGGGCTCAGGGTGATGTCATGTACTTTAAACTTTATAATAGATTGGTTTTCATAAGGTATGTTTAAAACTTTTCCTCATATTTCTATCTGTTCCTTGTCTTATGTAATGAAGTTTTGCAAACACCATAGAAAATTTCCTTCTATTGTAGACTTTATTTCCAGTCTGCATCCTATGAAGTCATCTTCTACTGTGGTTAATGCACAGCTACTCACCTGGCATTTGATAAGAATAGGGTGTTTGGCCTGGCTGCGGGGTAGAAAACCCTGGGCTGTAACTGAGGCACCCCGTCTGTAGTGGTGACTGAGTCTGTGAAAGTCCACTTTCTGTCTTGATTCCTGGTAACATCACACCTAAATCTGGGTGAGCAATTAATATTCAAAGCGATTTAATAATTAACTTAGTGGAATCCTCAGTTGCAGATGGCACAAGAAAATAAAATTACCAACTAGTAGAGTCTCCCACTTATAATGAAAGAACAGAAATGAGATGCAAAATACCGTAAGTGGGTAAGCTGTAAGGTTGTCCTGTCTGTGAGTAGGCTGTGTACACTGCTGGCTGCTGCATTCCTGAATACTGAGTCTGTCCCGCATAGGCAGACATTGTTTGAGCTGCTGGTGTAGAAAGAATGTGTGGATAGGGCCTAAATATCAGAAAAATAGCATTACTGTGGCAACAAAGATTATACATTCATTAAGACAGCTTATCTTTTAAATAATAAAACCTTTGAAATTCCAAATGGGAATCTGCCTCTCTATCCATAATTTGGGCATCTAGGAGGTGCAGTGGATAGGGCACTGGCCTGGAGTTGGGAAGATCTGAGTTTAAATCTGGCCTCAGACACTTACTAGCTATATGATCCTGGGCAAGTCACTTAACACTGTTTGCCTCAGTTTCCTCATCTGTAAAATGAGCTGGGGAAGGAAATGTCAAACCACTACAGTATCTTTGCCAAGGAAACCCCCAATGGGGTCCGAAAGAGTCAGACACAACTGAAATGACTGAACAATAACAATACTCCACAATTTAATTATATATTTTGGGGTGCAGTGGATAGAGTACTGGACTAGGAGTCAGGCAAAGTGAATTTTAGCCCTGGCTCTTCCACAAATGATCAGTATGATCTTTGTCAAGTCCCTGATCCTCCTTAGGCTTTAGCTTACTCATTTGATAAATGGGGTGGTTGGACTTGATGATTTCTAAACTTCTTTCTAGTTTTAAGTTATATATATATATATATATATATATATATATATATATATATATATATATATATATATTATATATATATATATATATATATATATATATATATATATATATGTGTATATATATATATATATATATATATATATATATATATATACATATCTGTGTGTATGTATGTATAAAATTTACTTAGAATCTTAAAATACTTATTTCTATCTGGCTTAAGTTTCATGGTATATATTTGGAAAGTGCCACCAGGATTGGCCATGACTTAATAATTCTTCTTATTAAGCATGCGTGGTATATCATCTATGTGAAACAGAAAGTTTGTGAACAGGTTGAGTGATATGATCATGATCACACAGTATAATGATTAGATGATTCCCACTTTTAGGGTCATAACTTTGATTATGTTCACACACTAAAAGTTAACTGAAAAGTCTGAAGCAACAACACTGTAAATTTTAATGAATGTATTATTCACCCTACAATAAAAAAGTACATAATTTGATTTTGGCTTAGAATTATTTTATAAATTATAAAAAAGGTCATTAAAGTAAAAAAAATGATATTTCTGTAACTGCTTCAGTTTTGCTTAAAACAAAAAAGTAGGATTAATGTTTTACATCAAAACTTCCCATGGATAATATAAGTATAGTGTGTACATCTCTATATATGGAAATACATAAAATTTCATATTCTTAAAGTAAAAATAAGTAATATTAATCTTGCATTATGATAAATTATCTCAAATAAGGGCATGTCAAAAAGCCTTATGGAATTATATCACATGCCTATGTTTCCAGCTATGTGTAACTTAAAAGTCTGTTTCTCCTAACTTTTCCATTCCCTAGGTACACATGCAACTGAATAGTTGAAGTGTGAGACAAAAGAAAAGGGAAAGAATTGCATTACAATTTATTCTGTTCCCCCTTAAGTTAATGACTCTATTTGATTATGCAATCCTTCAAAGCTAAGAAAATGACAACTTTTATTTAGCTATATTATTACTTCCTTAGAAAACAGTCATATTGAATTTATACTAAGATATATATATATTATATATATGTATACACACACACATATATATATATACATATACATAAATAGTGTGTGTGTGTGTGTGTGTGTGTGTGTGTGTGTGCGCGTGTAAAATTCAAAACCTGGGAACACAGTTGTTTCCAGACAAATCTGTATTTGTCTTTTAAATAGTGTTAAAACTTGGTATACATGGAAATACATGAATAAGTTTGGCAAACCAATTATAGACCAGAAAAAATATATACAAACTGTCCTCAGACAATGAAGCATAACTAAAAATCTGACACAATGTTTCAACCTAATAATATTTTTAAAAGTCAAGCAATTCACCAGAATGTTCATGATTCGAACAGTAAAGTCTGAACTTGTAACTGTAGAGATGTTTGTGCTTAAACATTATATCTTTAAATTTAATTAAATATAGTATACCAATGTTGAATCTGTTTTGGTAAAAACCAGCATCATCTACCAGAATTTATTACATTTCTTAGGACAATATGAATATTAACATTTCCAAAACAAGTATACATATCTAAATTTGACAAGATAGAAGGGGATGAGCCTTCATCTTTAGTTAGCTTACCAAATAACCTGTCATTTGTAGCCTATAAATTGAGATTTTTGTAAAATCACAAAATAGTTTTGATTAATTTGCTTTGACACACCAGAAAAAAGTGATCACTTACTTGGAGGGATACAATTGTGGGGAATACTGATGTGTTGATCTGGGACTGTAGCCACTACTTGTTATTACTGCAAGACACAAACATATGTATATATGAAGTTGCAACATAACTATATCTCATTAAGATACATGATAACAATTTTAACAAAATAATAAGTATTAGTAGTTCAATTTACTTGAACAATATGTGGCATCCCAAGTGACAATACTCTTCAAAAATTTATTTTCACTTAGTGGTTTTTAATACCAGCACTGAATACATGCATTCTGACTCCCTAAGAAGCTTCTGTCCCAGGGGAAAAACATTTTCTGAAAACAGCATGGACTCATCGTTTGAAGTCACTATAGATTTCTGTGGCAGCAGTTTATTGAAGTTTCACAAATAGAAAGTGTTATAATACATCACAAATATTGATTTTGATATCAAATGAAGGATCAGTGAACAAAGTTTCATGTGTATATCTATTCCAAATCCAATTCTCTCCCCCAAATTGATGTTTACAAATGTTAAGTTTTAATGTTCAAATTTTGATTTAGTTACATTCAATTTTGCATTTTCATTTTAATCCATTATATTGGGAATTAATAATTTAGGATAGTAAAAAACATCCTTTAGCCAAAACCACACATGCAATAGTAATGGTAACATTTTAAAAAATAAAAGTACAAACTTTTAATAATATAGTAATAGCCACCTTTACCATGGTCTCTAACTATCAAAAGAAATACTCTTCCAAGAGGAGCTTGAAGTGTGATAGTCAGCTCTTATTTACATTTCATTCACAAATACTGCCCCAAACTGGACTAATTCAAATAGTTCGGAAGTTTCTTTTTCTTTCAGCCATCTGTCTTGACTAAGACAGATGTATTCCAAATATATGTACGCTAAAGTGTTGAACCAATCCCTTCAGAGCAAATCCATACTGGGCAAACATACAGAGTGTCTTTATTAGGCCATCTGCTGCTCATTCACTTTTCAAAAAGATTAAAGTAGTACACAGTGTAGCGCTGGAATTACTTTAGTCTAATCAATCATAGTTATACTTCAAAGTACTAAATCCTTTGTAAGTTGTTCGTAATAATACCAGAACCAAACCTTCAGAATTGTTTAAGTGACAAATAGGTTTAGGTTCCTAACTATTTTATGAAACATGATATATTTCTACTTCCAAATATCATTAAGGGACCTTGTGATCTATTGCTTTATAAGCATACAAAATTTAACAGATTTAAGGTATTTTTTTTAACCTGTATGCTCTGAATCTTTAAAGTACATTTTAAATAGCTGATAAAACAATGATGTAAAATCTACCCTTCCAAGAACTCTTTGACTCAGATTTGAAAAATAAATAAATGTTGATCAATAATATTTTGATTTAACGTTAATAGTTTTAGTGAAACAACAGTCATAAATGATATTTTATGCAATTCAATGTAAAAGAACCATTGCATTATTCAGGTTCTTCTTGATTTTTAAGCACTTAAAATGGCCACGGTTTATCAGTTCAGCTCATTAAGAACAAAAAGTTGTGTGTACCATAATGTGGGAACTTAGTAAATATTGCATAACAGTATGCCATGGAAAATTCAAGTCTAGCTTATTTGAGTCACATGAGAGAATTTTAACCCTCCTCTAATTACGTCTTTACCATTTTTTAACCAAAAATATGAACAGATGAAACATCATTATACCCACTTGCCTCAATGGCTAAACTTTGGCAAACTTGAAATTTATGTGTTTTAAAATCAGCTTTTCTTAGCTTTGGGAAATATGAGGTTTTACCACAAAGCTGTGGCAAAGGATGGATGGATAGACATTTAACAACAGCTAAATGAACTGCCTTTTTCCCCAAAGCAAGACATCAGTAATGTTTATATATGTTTATATATTCACATATATCACAGCAATCCTACATATTGAAATTAAAGACAATTTTGCTTTTCTTTCCTTTAGTTTGTGAAAATGCTCCCACAGGATTATCAAGCCTCAGATCAAACAATACTTTCTACAGGAGTTCTTTCCTGCCCCCACCATCTGCTAATACTTCACTTCTAAGATTATCTTCACCTACTCTGTAAGTATCTATATTATCAATTTATATCCATGTCCTCCCACATTAAAATTGTAAGCTGATTTTACTTCTCTTTCTTTTTCTTTCTCTCTTTCTCAATTTCTTTCTCTCTTTCTTTCTTTCCCCAGTGCTTAGTAATGTGCCTGGAGATATAGTAAATACTTAATAAATGTTTGTTGGTTAATTAATTGATAATCTAACTTAAAATATACAAAGCATCACCAATTTCTTTGTGATTTGAATTTTCTTCTTTTTTTATGTGAGGAAATTGGGATTGTGTCTTGCCCAATGTCACACAGCTAGTGAGTGTTATGTGTCCTGAGGACGGATTTGAACTCAAGTCCTCCTGACTCCAGGGCCAGTGCTCTATCCATTGCACCACTTAGCTGCTCCTGAATTTTCTTTTCTTTTGCCTCATTAAAAATGAGATGTTTACATGTTGAGTGTCATTAGGTGGTTAAAAATGATATATAATCTTTTAAAAAGGCAAACATTTTGTTCTGTTTCAACCAGATGTAAGGGTAATTAATATAAGGGCCTAAGATTAATGTGATCCTGGGTGCATGACTTTATTTATCAAATCAAGGTTCTACTTGGATAAGTTGTCAAAATTGAGTGTGTAGTTAGATAAGTGTACCAATGGAGAGCATCACTTTAAGAGAATGTCTTCATTTTACATTTGCCACTTATTGGCCCTGGGACACTGACCATTGACTGCATATTTCTTTCTTTCTTTCTTTCTTTCTTTCTTTCTTTCTTTCTTTCTTTCTTTCTTTCTTTCTTTCTTTCTTTCTTTCTTTCTTCTTTCTTTCTTTCCGTCTCTCTCTCTCTCTCTCTCTCTCTCTCTCTCTCTCTCTCTCTCTCTCTCTCTCTCTCTCTCTCTCTCTTTCTTTCTTTCTCTCTTTCTTTTTGACATAATGGAATTCCTCGCTATCAAATAAAGTGAGTAAATTTACCCCTTGACTAATATGTTCCGAAAATGAATTCAATAAATTCTCTGTAATATCTTCAGCTTTGGAGGCAGATGTCTTGCAAATTCAAAGCTAAATTTTAGCTCCATCATTTGAAAGGGTGTATGACCATCAAAAATTCACTAAACTTTTTTTGTGATTCTGTTTCTTCATAAGTAAAATGGAGATTATACTTATAATGCTTCAAGGAGCTGTCATGAGAAAAAATATTTCACGAATTGTAAAGTACAATGTAAATGAGTCATCATCATCATAAATAGCTAAATAACTTGTGATCTGATACCAAATTATATTGCTGAAGAATACTGAGAGTCAGTGTAGGTCAAATATATTTATCTATCAATTGTAACACAATTTTATATAGAATGATATAACAATGAAAGGACCAGGCTAAGGGATCACAAGACCTGATTCTGTCATTGAACTATCAATAAATTGATAATAAGCACTTGTTGAGCTACCAATACTTTGTTTACAGCTATTAACTTTAACCTGCTGAGCCCCTTGTTCTTCATTTGAAAAATAAGTGTGTTGGATTAGTTAATTTCCATAGAAAACATTCTGATAATTAATGTATTATCAGATTGTATTATTCTATATTCCCCTAACTGAATTAAGATGCTATTTAATTATATTGTTAATTCTAGAATTTTATCGTTCCTTTCCTTATTATTTGCATACATATTTGCTCTGCCTGGAGTTAATATTATTTATCATTTTCAAGTAGCATTTTCAAGAAAATGCTAGATTAGTTGCTTATTGGGCTGGTAGAAAATATCATGGCTTTGATATATGCATGATTTATACTATTTGCACGTAAGCTGTATCTTTGTGTTTTTACAAAATTTTAATTGATTTTCTGTCATCTATTTTCAATGCATTTTGGGGACATAGAATTTTCTTCTGCAATTTTAATGATAACAACAATAGCTAACATTTATATAATTCTTTACAATTTACAAAGTGCTTTATAAGTATTAGCTCATTTTGTCCTCACAACAGCCCTGGAAGGTAGGTGCTATTAATATCCCTATTTTACAGATGAAGAAATTGGGGCAAGTAACGATTAAATGATCTTGCCCCAATTCATATGGTTAGTAAATGTTGGAGGAAGGATTAATCTCAAATTTCGCTAAGTTCATGTCCAGTGTTCTGGGCAAGTTCACATTAGCTATGTAGAAGAATCTTCTGGTGAGAACACTGGGTCTGTCTAGAGTCAGGAGGCCCAGTTCTCATAGTGCCTCTGCCACTAATTAATATAAGTGTGTGTAGTGAGTTTCCATTTATTTTGATACTGAAATTTGATGAATAGCATTTATGTCTACTAGCTAGAAAAATATGTTACTAGGTCTTTTATTTGATGAATGTAGCTAAAATTTCATGACATAAAGTATAATCACATAAACACACACACACACACACACACACACACACACACCCCAAATATATTACTCTATAAAGATACAAGTTCGCACACATACAACACCTAGCCAAATCCTATTACTTTAAATATTTTATATGTTAAATATTCACCTTCTTAGGAAATGTAAAAATCCATTACTTCCAGAAAGAATTAATGAGCAGCAGGGTATTTTGACTTTATTTTGTAAAACTTTTGACTAAGTCAACTTATTTACTAACCTGCTGGGAGTTACATAGGAATTTACATTAAAAATGGGCTGATATTTACAGTTATACTATTGTTTCCCTTGATGCATTAATATTAAAGGTAGCACTATCCAATTTAATGTTCTAATGCAAACAACATGTGCTTTCCTGCAGTCCATTAACCTTTAATACTTTTCACTCAGCCGCTTACAAAGAAGAATTTAAAAAAAAATCTACAGAGGAAACAAGGTTACTTAGAAAGAATCAAATGTACAATTTTACATTCTGAGTCATGGATAGAAGGTGATATTTATATAATTTAACTATCAATGCTGGAAGGATAAAATTTATGGCTAGCACAACCCACTTATTAAATTAATAACATTTTGTGTACAATAATTACCGCCAAAGCCACTTATGATTATTTCACTGTCATGAATTTCAGTGTGAATTTTAAAAAGTTATCTAAAATATGCAAAATTATATTTTAATTAAAACCTTTTTGTAGAACCAGTTATAATTCTTAAAAAGAGATTTATGACTACTAGGTTTCTCTTTAAAAAGGGAAGTGTTTTTTTTTCTTTTTACTTTGTAAAAGTAACATTTATGATTCTAAGTATTTTAACAGCGGCAGCTACTGTTGAATTTACGGGGCTTATTCACAAGAAAGGATGATGAATATGCCAATGTGTACATAACAACACATAAGGTTAAGGCTTTACCTGACCCAGTAAAAGTGTCAAGCGCCATCTCCAGTTGTTGTGGTTGTTTCATTGTTGTTCATGGGCTCTGTTTTGACTGCAAGAAGAGACACTATGTAGAAGAATAAGCAGACATGAGTTTTACTTCTAAATTTTCACACACGATCTCATATCTCATCCCAGTTTGACAGTGAGATTTGCTGGCTAACATGTACATGCAAAGGGAAAAAAAGTAAGAATATGATGAAGTCTCATTAATTCATCTTCTAAAGCATGCATTTATATGTAGGATTTAATTCAAAACACTTAAGCTGAGCTAATTTCCTCAAGAACCTGGCTTTAAAAGATAGCTAATTTTAAGTAAAACAAAATTATACACAGTTTAATTCTTAGCTTAACCACTTACACACCGGTTTTGTAGTTAAGAGATTGAAGAAATATTTGGTCACTCCTCTCCATTCTTACTCATGATCAAAAGGTATTCTTTGCTCTTTCCAATAAGCCCATTAAAAAGCACAATAATAAAACAATAAAACAACAATAAAACAGTAATAAAACAAGACTATATAAAATTGTTGAACTAGGACTAATTGATGCATTAGGTAAGAAACTACATTTTATTCCCTGTTTCTAGCAGAGACTAAGCAGCCACATACTTTCATAACAAATTCCAAATAGTGATATTTAGACGTAATATACAACTGTGCATATCATGGTATATCATTTCTATACATGTATATGATTTGGAAACTTCTGTTGTATGGGTGTTAAGGCCTATCACAAATTACCAGCATTATCAGTTTTATTTATTGGAGAAGAATATTAAAATCAATGTATACTTTGCATTGAAGTATAAAGGTTCTGCCATATTCTTCACATTGTAGAAAAGATACTGGAAAATGTCAAGGTAGAAAGGATAGAAATGGAATTCTTTGTGAATTATTTCCCATTTAGTATCCCCTGAGATCACTGTGTCACAAACTGAATAATGTGGTGTAGCAGCAGCAATAAATTCTGGAAATGCAAAGCAAGAAATAGCTGAATATGATCAAGTATGTGGGAAAAAGCATGCCAGGTGTCATTGCTGACCACAGACTAAACATATATGCACAATGCTATTCTGTTAGAAAAGTAATCATAATGGGATGCACATAGCAACAATTAGGCAATCCTTTAAAAGAATCAGAACTAATCAGATCAATATTTGGGTAAGAAGAAAACTTGTAGAAGATTCTGACTCTGTGGTCTCTTCCTCTAATTGACTGATTTTTCCCAGAGTCTCCATAGGGAAAGTACTCAATCCAGTCATGCCTTCACTCCTCTCTGGACTCCACTTTTAGTTATCCAGACTTTCTCCAACATGCCAATGAGGATGTCTTCTTCCCTTCCCCCAATTTTTCAGTTTCTTTTTATATTTTGCCCTCCCTACTAGAATATAAACTCCTTAAGAGCAAGAACTTTCTTTTCTTTTTGAGGGCAGGGATACAATTTTCAGGGACAAATGAGATTTATATTTTTGAGGATAATGACTCTTTTTCATCTTCATTAAAGATTCAACGATGATGGAAACACAGAATGCATGATCAGAAAAACTTTCCTGATCACAAGAACTGTTACATATTAGAAAATATGGATGGATTGTTTTTTGATAACTTCATCTTGAGATGTTTAAGAAGGAGTCAGATTGATCAAATAACAGTTGATTTGTGATTCTTCCTGAATGCTGGGATTTCCAATTAACTAGCATTTTCAGCTGTATGGACTAACACTGTGGACGTGCACAGGTGGATACATACAGATAGAATGCTGTTTACTTTGAGGCAACACACTCTTCAACTTTTGATATTTGTGATTAGCAAAGCCTGGTCAAGAAATGTCACCCAGACATTTTTAACTTTGGCCCTCTTCGGATTTAGGCAAAGCTTTATGGCATATCTGTACAAGAGGGATAGCAATACTGGCCTTTTTCAAATGGGTATAAATGAGAATTAATGTTTGTCATTTTCTCAAGAAATAAAAAGCATCAGAAATAAGCTATTGGTAATGTATGTTCCACTTATGGCATGTGTGCTTATTTGAAAGTATGAGGAACAAAAACCACTTATGGCAATCAGCCTCATTCCTATATGCACACCTTATCCTTTACACTCTTATGGAGCTTAAAAAACACCAAGATCATATATTTGATTATGCTTCCTTTCTTAACTGTATATTACTCATACTAGTTACAAGGCACCTCCTCCAAATAATCAAGATTATATATGGTAAATTGTTTTTGGCCAAAGAAGATTCATTATTGCATGGAAGGAGTGGTGCCTGTGGACACAATCTTAAGCAGCAAAATGCCAAGATATATTCACTATAATGAAATGAATGTGTGTCTTTCAAAAGTATCAAAAAATTTTAAGCTGCAGCTAGTAGTTTGTTCTTTGAAACTTACCAGAATTATAGGACTAGACAGAGATCATCTAATTCTACCTCCTTTTTTAATGCATGGAAACTTGAAATCTAGTCCAAAGCTATCCCAGATATTATGGTCTATAATGACTTCTGACATATCAGGAGAATTGTCAAAGTTAAATTGTATTTTAAAAACAGTGGAATAACTATCCTAAAGAGATTAATTTAATGGTGAGGGTGGGGAAGAAACTCTCTCTTTGTATGTATATATGAATGTTTTATGTTTGTGTATATATGTGTTTGCAAATATATGTGTATCGATATATACATATATGTATATATATAATATATATATGTGTGTGTTTGCATATATGTGTACATATCTATCATGTAGATATAGATATTGGGGGTGGGGATGAGGTACATGTGTTGTCTATTTATTCTGTCTGTATGTGTCCATCTGTGCACGTCCACAGTGTTAGTCCGCACAGCTGAAAATGCTAGTTAATTGGAAGTCCCAGCATTCAGGTAGAATCACAAATAAGCTGTTACTTGATCAATCTGACTTCTTAAACATTTCAAGATGAAGTTATCAAAAAACAATCTATCCATATTTTCTAATATGTAACAGTTTTTGTGATCAGGAAAGTTTTTCTGATCATGCATTCTGTGTTTCCATCATTGTTGAATCTTTAATTCCCCATGTGGTAGAGGTGAGCGATCCTGCTTCTGGAAAAGTTCTGATGATGTAAAATAGAAATGTCTCAGAGAGACTGTGGAGTGGTAGACATTCTGTAACTGATTTTGGTCTGCTAATTACATAGTTAAGAGAAATCTTTATTTTTAATTGGCTGCATAGCAACAATTGTTAGTGTATTCTAAAAGGGTTGGGTCAGCCTCTGCCTAGTCTCTTTCTCTCAATCTCTTGGCTACTGTGGGACTGGTTGGACTCCTTCACTGGAAGCATCTTGTGAGGCACAATGCTTTAAATGTAGAGGACTTTGGAGGCTGAAATTTATCCTCTTAAATGGGATTTGGCTCTTGGCCCATGAGTTTCTTCTTTCCCATTTTAGTAAAAGGATTGAAGCTTCCAATCTTGTGAGTTTTCAATTATCAAGAACAAGTGTCTATATGTCCCGGCATCCTAGCATCCTAACTTTGTAGCCAGCTCAACAGCAATCCTCAGACAAGCATGACTGACTTTCAGGAATGACCTTTGGGAGCTAACATAGTAGTAGCTGAGATGAAGACTCATCTAACAGCAATTCTACTTTTGTACATTACTTTGGTGGACCAATTCTATGTAGGAACTGAGCTAAGTTTGAGCTTACTCTTCCCAAAGACCAAGATGGTATAAGTGAAAATGTGACCCCAAGGTGTTGGGAGGAAACATTGATACCTCAATTATTGTTCTATCTTTGAAGTAAATATCCCTTTGTAAAAGTTAATATTAAGTTGTTAAATGGAACTGTGATGCCATTCACTGGCAATTAGCAATGAGAGAAATAAGGATGGTGGGGACTCCAGTTAATAATATTAGAGAGGAGATGCTCCTACTTGGAACCTCTCAAGGAACACCTGGACACTAAGGGGAAGATGTATCCTAGATGGTCCTAAGACACTGGGCCAGAGACACTTACTACTTATATACATACATATATGTGCATGTATGTATATATAATTGAATAATCAGTCCCTCAGTCAGCACCAACTATATGTCAGACTCTACACTTCCCTCTTCTCAAGGAGCTTGTATTCTAATGGGGGACAGAGTATACAAAAAAAAAACCCCCAACAAAACTATATGTCTATAAGATAAATATTGTGTAAATATAAGGTAATCTTAGAATAAACTCACTTGGGAAGGGGGAGGAAGGAATACAAGTTTTCCTGAAGAAGAGGACCTGGGCTGCATCTTGAAGGAAGCCAAGGAAGCCAGGAGTTGGAAATGAAACAGGGGGTGAGGAGGGGGGACACTCCAGGTGTAAGGATCAGAAAGCGAAAAGCTGAAGTGTTCTGTGTGGGGAACACCAATTATGCCAAAGTACCTAGATCATAGAGTGTATGGTGGCTAGTAGAGGATTGTAATATTCCAGGTATGAGGTGAAGAGGGACTATACAACGGGAGCAGCTGTGCCAATGGAGAGAAAGGGGCATGTAAGAGAAATGCTACGGAAGTAGAAATGACAAGATTTGACAGCAAATTGAATATATTGGGGGAGGGTCAATAAGTAATTAAAGATGATAACAAGATTTTACTTATCAGTGACTAGAAGGATGGTAGTGGCCTTAACAGTAATAGGAAAGTTGGAGAAAGGAATGTTTGCAGGGCAAGATAATGGGCTCTCTTTTGAACATATTTAATTTCAAATGCCAGATAGGCATCCAGATTGATATGTCCAAAACACAGTTGGTGGTATGGGACTGAAATTCAACAGAGTGATTAGGGCTGAAATAAAGATCTGGGTACTATCTGCAAAAGATAATGGAAAATAATTTGTTTTGCAAAGAGAATGGGAAAAGACAATGATTAAATTGTACTTTCCTTCATTAGCTGGATTATTTGTTAGTCAGTAGAATACAAGTTAGTTTTATATTTATGGGATTAATAGCTGATACAAAATAATCATAATTGTTTTTCAGTAACTATAAACATACAGAGCAACAAAATAAATTAGGGAAAATAGAAATTTTTTCCGAACAACTCATTTTTACTAAAATAACTCAAAATTATATTTATAGATTTTCTTTCATTCAATTTTTATCTGCAAATTTTATGAATATGTATACTTTCCCTGATTTTTTCTCTGAAGCTTGATAAGTACTCCAATTCTGTAATCAAATCAGCTGTGTCATTGTTTATGGAAAGGGTATGTCAATCTATTGTGCTATGACTCCTTATGACTTAACTTTCTCTGTAACATTGAGACCAAAATATTGGTCCCTGGCCACCACTCCTTTATCAGCTTTTGAATTTGTATCCCAAGCACTTAGCTTAGTGCTTAGCACACATAAACCTTTTATAAATATTTTTCATATATTCATTAATTTAATACACATTGTCTGGGGACATTTCATTCATGGAAAAATACTCTGTTCTTTAACTTATCCAAAACTTGAAACATTTTCCAATTCTAACTTATTGGAAACATGCTGGTAGGCTCATCAGATACTGTGATTTATTCTTTCTTAATTTCCATACTGGGGGGAAATGCCAGTTTTAAGGACTACAATGTTTTTAAAGCACTGACTTTTTACTATTTTCATGTTGTAAGAGGAACCATAACAGGTTGGGGACATACTAATTCTATAATAAAAATTTTATGGCTCTTATAGTTGGTCCATCTAACAAATCAATCACTTAGTTTATTGGGAAAAACAAACTTTTTTTTCATGACCACAGGAGTATTAATAACTGCTAGGAACAATTTTGTGGGTGAAATTTTCTACATGATAAAAATGACTGATTAAAATCACCACCATGATTTCTGAGGAAGTTATAAGATGGGGAGAAGTGGTTGTAAATACCAATGTAATATGTACAATACTACATACAAAGTCTCTATGGACAAAGCCTTCAATTTATACCACATTTTCACTGTCAACCAACTTCTGTTTATAGGAAAGTAGCTAACATGAGTGAGAGTCTAGGCCAGAGAAGAATGAATTGATCAAACCAGTTTAATACAGCCAGATGTTTGCCTTTAATGAGAAGGGACAATTATTAAGTCTGTAGACTTAGTTAGTGTTATATCTGTACATTCTGTTATCTTAAAGGAACTACTGAATTGATCATTTTGCATTTTCTTCCTCCTCCTTGAAATTTATTTTAGACCTGTCATTTTGACTTGGCCACAATCTGCTTAGGTTGTCTTTTGAGATGAACGGACTGCAAAGACAACTTGCCTTATCTTCCAAAAATGCCTGTCCTAAGTACTGTAATCCCACATTTGGATTCATTTATTTATATTTTAGTTTTTTGTCTCTGGAGACCAAGGATTACATTGGTCAGAGATTTCAAGATGATTGGATTAGTTCATAAAAAATTTCCCACTGCGCATCTCTCCATATCACAAAATCATGTTGTGCAACACCTAGCAGTCTTTGTTCAGAAGAAGATTCTAAAGGCAATCGGGTCAAAATGGTTATACTATGTAACACCAAATCAAGGTCATAAACAACATTTTTCTATACTATGAATGGTCTTAATAAATGGAATAGCCTATAGTTATGGTTTTTTTATTCTAAGTCAACATGTTTTCTTGAAAGATACCTTTCTCTCAATCTATGAATGCCATGTTAATTTCTTTCTTTCCAAAAATAACCATAAAGTTTTAAATTTGGTACACCATTCTAAATGATGAGAGAAATTATGACAGCCACAAATAACAACATTTGTATGAAGAGTATTAAGATATCCTTGAATTTGAATACCATTCGCCTGGATATTATTCAATCCAGTAAGCATTTAAGGGCCTACTATGTACAAAGTACCATGATTTTCCCACAGAAAAAAAATTCATTCAAGAGCTCTCCTTGAATACTGAAGTTCTAAAACATTCCACTTCTATTGGATTATATAAAACCAAATCAGAAAAATGTGTATGAAATCAATCCAAATTTGTCCTTTGCCAAATTTTGCTATGCCTCTTCTCCAAATAATAAATGTCAAAGTTAAAAGAAAAACCTATCACTTTTGCAGCCACTAGCCTCAGTACTTTTATTGATATATTCAATTAGTCAAAGTAGTTATTTATCTTAACATATTCCAGGAAAACAAAACTTTATCCCATGAAAATAATTGTCACTACCTATTTGAGTTCTTAAGAAAAACCCATCAGTGAAAAAGTATTGACAAGAGAGCAACTTTATAAAAAGTAATTCAATTATTTGCTATATTCTTGATGACTATAATTGAAGAGATATCATATTCTTATACACATAGTAAACTAAATTCAGTTCTTATGTATTTTTCTTGTTGGAATAAGTTATTTAAAGAGTTAATTTAATTTAGTTATTGATCTAACAATAAATGAAAATTAATAGGGAGAAGTGGTCACAAGGCATGCCTTTTCAATTGCACAGATTTTTTTTTCAATTATAATGCAAGAGTTACTAGTAGTATAATGAGTAACTTCTATACATTTACAACTCAAATGACAATGAAAGAAAATTACTGAAAAACTTTTAAATTAATATTCTAAAACTTTTACTGATAGAAACTTTAACATTTCCAATAAGAATAAGAATAGCTAGCATTTATGTAGCACCTACTGTGTGCCAGGCACTGCTAAGCCCCTTACAATAATATCTCATTTCATCCCCATGTTGCTGTTGCAGAAACATAAGCAAACAGAGATAAAGTAACTGGCATAGTTAGTAATTGTCTAAGGCCATATTTGAACTTATATCTTTTTGGCTCCAGGCCCAGGGCCCTAGCCATTGTGACATTCTGCTGACTCCATTGCTTTCCACATTCAGATATGTTAACATGAGTACTACAAATATTTGAAATATTTTTTACCGAAGTGGAAAAGTAATGTCCCAAACACTTACAGAGACTTTACATACACAAGGCATTAAGAATTCATAAAACTGGTATCATATTCTGCCTTACAGATAGTTACATACTTGGCATTTTTGTGATAAAGTTATACATGATATAGCTATTTATAATAAAGAAGATTCTTTTTGCAATCTGTGAAAACTGAATTTTTTGTTAACCATGTTTGACAGTTGTGATTTGATGACTGTATTGTAGCACTGGGAAATAGGAAACCAAGTGTTCCTCATAAGGTAAGTATAAGAATTTTAAGAAAACTTCAAATATAGTGATTATTGGGAAAGCAATATATTTCAATTTCTCACTTCAGATATAGCATATAATCATATGAATTAGCAAAATATTTATGTTTTATTATTATTATTACTTTTTAACCAGACCCACTGTGATTTCCTTACTATAGGGAATTCCCATTGAGAAAACTCCCTGTACCAATTCAGATGAATATATTATGCTTCCTCTAGGACTACTCTTATTTTGCTCAGTAAATGGTCAGAAGTATGATTTTAGCAAAAAAAAAAATAATGAGGATAGAATAATTTTTTTAAACTAAGAAAAAAGATATCAGGAACTGATTATGTTTACAATATTATTGTTAATTCTAATCAAAAAATCATTGACATTATCCTGAGGCCGAGAAAACTAAGCACATCCTAACTGCAAAAAATTGAATCAAATTAATACAATTACTAGCGTAACTCAGTTCTCAATATATACAACTTTTTCAGTCCTCAAAATACTTCCTAAAGATGGTGTCATAATGAATTATAAAGAAAAAAATAAAACTTACTAAATTTTAAAGACCATATTAACTTTCATGTAGGACAGCTGCATGGTACAGTAGATAGAATGCTGGACCTGGAGTCTTCCTAAGTTCAAATCTGGCATCAGGCACTTATTATCTGTGTAACCCTGGGCAAGTCACTTAACCTTGTTGCCTCCATTTTCTCATCTATCAAATGAGTTGGAGAAGGAAATGGCAAACCACTTCAGTGTCTTTGCCAAGAAAACCCCAAATGGGGTTACAAAGAGTCAGACATGACTGAAAGGACTGAACAGCTAACTTTCATGCCATACAGCTTATTAATGGATTATGTGTTTGGAAGTGAAGGATTTCATAATTCAAAATAAAAATGCTATTGGATTTCAGAAGCTCTTTGGCATTCTAAATTGATGCAGGTGTCTCATTAGGGATGTTTAAGGTTTAAAAATCACTTTTTGCCCCCTCTGCTCCTGGAAAAAAAAAACAACTTCACCTCTTTTAACTGATTTGTAACTGGTCAGTTTATTCAAGCTAACTGCATGAGCACACATATCTCCAAAAGTTCCTCTTCAAGGCATATTTTGAAAAATCTTTGTATAAAAAAAATTGATTTTATGGTAGAAAAATAGCCTAACATTTGGGAACTGTTAAGCAGAAAGTGTATTTATTTTTCTTGTTTCTCTCTTAAAAGTAATGAAGCACACAGCAGTGGCACAAACCAGAGAATAGAAACAAGGACCCAAACCATAAAGGCAAACCCACACAGCCACACACATGCAGTGTACCATGGTCTCTCATACTTGTTGCAGAAGAAGGAGTGTTACAACTCAGCAACCAGTCTGCAGTATTTAAAACAGTCATGGTGTCTCCTGAGAACAGGAATAGTAGAATGGTTCATTGTTTGAAGGCCTGCTCAGTGTCTATGAATAATCTTCAATGCTTGTAAGTGTTTTTGCACTTTGAGCCAAGTCTTTTAACTATGCTGTATTACTTTTATGAGTATTATTTTATATAGTTTATTTTATTCAAGTAAAATATATGCACATGATTATTAGTGTCCTTGAAAGCGAGTTTCCAGAGTTTTGAGAGTCTTTTAATACTAATATTTGTACTTGATTTGAGTTTTAAATGCAAACATACTTAATCTAAAAGTCATCAGTAAGTGGCCTAGTCATTCCTCTTCATGTGCGTAAAAAAGTCCATTGATATTAACTAGAACTATGTGCACATATAGAAAGATGAGTTATCATCTATAAACAAGAAAAAAAAACTAAGCTGCAAAGAGTTTGGTGGAAAAGTTTTTAATGCAGGCAACTTGCAATGTGTACAACTTCACACAGAAAATAATTTCAAAACTGAATTCAAAACACTGGTCTTTCCTCTGCCACCCCCACCAACAATTGGAAGGACTAAAGCATATTGATAAATAGTCATTTAATTGTTTTTTAAAAAAGTATTTTGTGGCAACTACCTATATCTGGTCATTTCCAATAGTCTCTTGCGTTCAGAGAAATTTGAATTCCTAATTTATTTTAGCAACTATTTATATGTTGCTTAAAACACATTTTCTAACTGAATATATCTAAAGAAAATGAAAGTAACACAATGTCACCCCTATTTTGAAAACAACAGCAACAAATAACTTTGCCCTTTGAAAAGAAAATTTTGAACACCTGTTTTAAATTTTTTTTCCCACTTCAGCAATCATTTTGAGCACAAGGTAAGTCAATTTCTTGGTAGTTTTTATTATTAAATTCAGAGCCAGAGAGAGCTCAAAACTGCACTCTGATGCATTGGATGCACTACCAGGCTGCTTTTTCTGAAATCAGTGTCCAAGACTCACTTTCTTCATCCTTGAGTGAACTTTTTGGGGACATACAAAGGACAATGAAGTGTCCCAGCAATATGCCCTGCTCAGAAGCAGAACCAGTTTTTTTTTATTATCCTTATATGTTTCCAGTTTTACAGCATAACAAAGAATAGAAAGAGAGTTGACCTAATAATAAAACATGCATTTTCTAAATATATGTTTGGGCATAGTGAGGAGACATGTTGTTAATTAAGGAGACCTTTACTCATTTATTAGCACATGCCTAACACTAAGCATTGAAATTTATATTCTGTCCAACTTCTGGGTAGCATACTTACCTCCTGTCCCATTGGTTGTAACTGATGTGTTGCTGAGATTAGATTTATCCAGTTTGGAGCTACCAGGAGTATCACTACTTCCAACAAGAGTATGAGGACTTGTTAGGTCCTGCATTTCCATAGACCTGTTAGAGCAGGAAGCAGTACAGTAAAAAGTTGAAATCCCAGCAATCATTCTTTAATAACCTATACATGTTATTCTACTGAGTCATGTGACCAGTTATGCTACAGCTGATAGGACTGTTACTAGGTATGGAAATAATAACCCATATGAAAATTGAAGTTTGATTAAAATTGATTTTTTGAAATCACTGTATTTTTTTTTAAAAAATGTCCTGCTGTGGCTCAAACTATCATTTTTTTTCCTACCACCACTGCTGCTAGAACTGTTTCAAATAAGAAATGTCTTATTTTTAAAAAATCAAATAGAAATTCATTTTTGTTCCAGACCTGCAAGAGGCAGTCTGATACAGTAGATAGTAGTCTGGCCTCTGTTGTGGATTCATGAAGCTCTGGATTTATTTTCTGCCAGTGACAAATACTGGCTGTCTAAGCCTGGACGGTCTTTTAACCTCTTAGTGTTCCAGACAACTCTCCAACATTTTAAATCGGAGAATGATTGCTGATCTGTACTTGTAGAGAGAATTTCTTCACCTGAAATTCTTTGCATCAATAAAATTACAACACAAAATATATATAATTAAACTTTATTGATTTTATTAATTGTATCCCAAATTAGAAAGAATAATATTTATTTGCTCAATATTATAATTTCATTTTTATGCAAAGAAAAGATCTTTTTCCCCTCTAAAAGATACAGTGCCGTTTAGACTTTATAAATGAATCACTGGTGATTAATCAATGTCATCTCAAAAGTCTGGTTAGTTTTTATTCCCATGTTTGTGTAACTCTGTGCTTGTTGAATACTGGTGGTGACATGCCCTTGCGAGTTGTCTTCTACCATTGATGAGTAAAGAGTAGTCAATTGTCACTACCTCATGGATAAGGGCTAAAATCAAAACCTATAGATTATTCAGGGAGTATGAATTGGTGTATGTTAAGGATATTGAACTGAAACAAACTAAAACTGGGACTATCTAGAATATTGATTATAGGTCCTTCTGTTTAGACAAAGAATATGAGCTTTCTTGGCATCTTTACTTATACACTCAAAGGCAGTACTGGACTAGGTGTCTAAAGATCAGAGTTTGAACCCTGGATCCACCATTTGTTATTTGACCTTGGTCAAGATAAAAGACAGTTGAGGTCTAGTCAAAGTGGATTACTCAGTGTTCTATGAACATGTTCTATATCTTTTTCCATCTATGGCATGTACTGTTTCATATATTAAATGTTTCATAAATTTAAAATGTCTCTCTGGTACCATCTACCCTTCCAGCTCTTGTTCCAATGCCATTTCATTCATAGAGCTATCTGCAATCCATTCAATTTGAAATGAAACCTCTTCTCACATTTAGTTCATTTTGTTTTTAGCTCTCTATGAATTAATATTCTCTTTTATATTGTAATATTTGTGCAAATTCTATCTCCCCTTGAAGGCAACGACTATATCTTACTCATCTTTGTAACTCCCAGAAAATAGCATAATGCCTTTTAAATGTGCCAAAATCCATTTCATTCTATACCAACAGTATCAGAGGGTTTATTAAACTCAATTAGTCACTAAAGTACAAAGTAATTGAGAATCATACTTACAGGTAATATATGGGATGATTTTATTTTTACACTCAAAGAAACCACCTGTGAGGTCATATTCTTATGCCTCATTGTGTTGAAGTTGTATCTCTGGGTTACGGGGAAGTTTTAGGAGACCATAAACAATGCCAGGTCCCACCCATTTAGAAAGGTTCTGATTATAGGAAGATCATGGAATGAATACTTGTTTTCTCTGAGTCACAGACACATAGATTTTGAGCTAGAACATACCTTACAGATTATCAAGTTCAACTCCCTAAATTTGCTCATTGGAAACAGGCACAGTGAGCATAAGTAACTTGGTCAGGGTCACAGAGCTAATTCAGCCTGAGTCTGAATTTGAACTCAGGTCTTGCTAAATTCAGTGCTCTACTCAATCCTTCTCGGTGAAGTCTAGCTAAGATTAGAGAGTCACATTACATGTAGGGAGAGGCATTTCACAATTGCAACAGCTCTCAGAGATCATCCATTAAACCAGGAAGGGACTGTGATCTCTTTTAAGGGAGAGAATACCCTCCTGAACTCTTGAAGTATTCAAAGAAACTCTGAAGTTTCAACTATGATTCTTTAATTTCAGGTTCCCTCACTGAATTTGGCCTCTGTTAGCTTCCTGTCAAATTTTGGTGGTAATAAAAGTGAACTGGCTAAGGGTTAATCAAGTAAGAAATGGTATTAACAAAGTTATATAAATAGATTGCCTGTTGTCACTCTGTCATTCTCCTTAAATAATTAGTCCTTTACAAATGTTTTCTCATCCCCACAAAAACCTCATCAGGTAGGTACTATTCTCCCCATTTTACAGAGGAAGAAGCTGAGACAACTAGGAGTTGAGTGACTCGCCCATGGTCACAGAGTTAATAAATGTCTGAGTTTGGATTTGAATTTAGGTCTTCCTGACTCCAAGAGCAGCACACACATACTTGTGTGATTTATTGAACAACTATTTGACCTCTTTGCTGTTGAGATAGGCCAAAAGTACATTATTCCTCTAAATAAACTTGGTGTCTATCTAGTCTCGGTATACGGAAGCCAAGAAAATATCCATTGTATTCGTTTATTATAAATGAATGAATGAATAAATAAGTAAGTAAAAGTTCAGTCCAATTCTATAATTTGGAGGTAGGAACATAGGTCTATGCAAAGCGAGTAGAATTGTTTAATTGCTTAATTTCTGGCTTTTTTCAAGATACCAGTTTCCGGAACTCAATATATAGTGAATGTCACATTCTGTCCTCTAAATGAGCCATATGATCATGGTTTTAGTATTTGCCCATGACTACTTCTTTAACTTGGAGGAAGATATGAGAAGGCATCATGATACAAACGAAAGAACATTGGCTCTTGATCTGGTTTCAAATCTCACCTCTGAGGATTACTACCTATCTGACTGAACAAATCACTTAACCTCTGAGGACTGCAATTCCCTCATCTGTAAAATGAATGAGGTTGGAATAGAAGACCTCTGAGGTCCCATCCAGCTCTAGAACTCTTAATATCCTCAGTTTCCTTGTCTATAAAATACACATAATGTTATCATTCTCTCCCCATAACATAGAAAGATAGAAAAATGCTTGTGGAATGATTTGAATTATTTAAAATCAAGATTTTAAGCTGGTTAAAGTAATTAGAATGAGAAAACAATTATTAAAATATAATGCCTATAATACCTTCTACTTTTATTTTTGGTGTTTTAGAGTTCAGAATTTGGTTGAATGATGAGTTTGGTTGTGGGCAGAGTGGACTTTAGGTTAGACATTGAAGAGAGCTACAGGGTATAAAGGACATGGACCTTTTCTTACTTATCCCAAATCAATTAGGTGACTTGCTCAAGGTCACACAGGTACTAAATAACTAGCACATAGTAAACAAGATTTAATTTCATTCAAATGAGGTATACATATGTTTCCAGTGTTGTTCCATAGGCATTCATCATATGAACTATAATCTCCTTGAGAACAGAAGCTAGGTCTTACCTGTATGTTCTTTATTTATAGAACATACATGTTCATCGGACAACATCAGGCAGTGTCAGAATGCTGATTTTAGCTCATAGTTCTCTACATTACCACAAATGTGAACAGGTATCCAATATTTTGCCTTTTAGATTAACCATTGATGGTGGGATATGAAGTGAAAGGGATGGGAGTTTTTAAGATGAAAATATCTCTTTTAAAATATATATCCATACATCTATGGAATCTAGGAATATGCATATATATATATATATATTTATACACATACATATATTATATGTTATATGTAGTCTTTTCAAAGAAGTATCATATTTTATCAAATTAATAGTTTGTTGACAGAGTTCTGGACTTGGAATAAGTTCAAATCCAACCTCAGATATGCATGACCCAGGACAAGCCACTTGATCTTTTTGCCTGTTACTTTATCTGTAAAATGTGGATAATGATAGTATCTACTCCTTAGGGTTGTTTTGAGGATAAAAATGAAGTGATATTATTAAAGTACTTTGCAAACCGTAAAGTACTATATAAATGTTAACTATTTTATTACTATCATTATTATTTATGAGAACAAACCCTTTTAATTAGCTATCTCTTGTTCATTTCATTTTCTACTAGACAAGATGTCTTATTCAATTCACTAAATAAATATCAATGTTATTTCTATTATTTAATATAAAAAAGTAGTCTCATTTGCAATTAATAATTTCTGCTCTTCCCAAACAACTGTTATTTGGGTGGGGGGGAGAAAAGAAAAAAATACAACAAAACCAAAATGTTTTAGCACCATTGTTTGAAAGGTATAAGACCCAAACTTCATTCAGATCTATTGCAGACTAAGGTTAATGAAGCATAGAATTATTACCCTGTACCTAGCAAGAAGGTGAATCGATCATACCAGTGAAAATATTTAATGTTCTCTATTTTGCCAAGAAACATATGGTATTCCTATCTTTTAGGAAACCAACCAGTGAAGAACTATTTTTTTTAACTGGATGAATGTAAAGATGAATACTCTGTAGTGGGTAATCCTTACTAGCATCAGTCAGAGCAAAGGCTTCTCTTTGTAGGACTGATAAAAAGCTTAGAACTGCTACAAGCAAACACTGATACTGTCTGCCACAACAGGAAAATGAGATCCGGGGTAATATACTGCATGCAGAAATAAAATAATGCAAGTGTATCTTGAAAATGGTGAAGATGGACACCCTTCCATGTATTTCTATATAAACCATAATTTTTTTTTTAAATTTTAATCATTATTGTTAATTCTTAGAAATAAAATGCCACATAGTGACTCAGGAAAGATGGATTCAAATTCCTGATCTGGTACTGACCTGACATGTTTTTCAAAAGCTCACTGACAGCCCTACTCACACCCCTTCTCTAGTTTATAGAATTCAACTTGCTGACAAATGTGTTTCATCCAAAAATGG